GTTCCCAATGTCCTAGAAATTCCAAGAGAGTTAATCCACAATATCTAAGGAAGAAACTAATACAATCTTGTACTGAAAGGACGTCCAGGGACACCCCAGGCTTGATTCACTGAGGACATAGCAGCTATGTTCACGAATGTGCCAACTCCTCAGATGGGAAAAGCTCGTCGGGCTATGCTGAGAAAGATCCCGGGCCATGGTCTATAAGCGATGTCTGCCGTGAAAGCACGTGGGGCTGACGGCATGACTACACCCTTCCTAGGCTAAGGAGATCGATCCCACAGAAACAAAACCTTTTCAAGTGCTTACTCTCTTCTCCCTACCCTATCCTCTTAGTCTACTGTAACCGAGAGGATTGAGAGGCCCAAGAGGTCAAGGACGTTCAGACTGGAGCCAGTGCTGGTCCCTGGCCACCTATGAGCTCAGATTTTCTAATCGCCTCATAGGAACCGTGTGGCTGGGACAGCTGTGTCAGCAGGTCTTTTCTGCGCAGCTGTTTGAAGTAACCTGTGGTTGCCATGGGAAGCAGGCTCTGGTGAGCACTGGCCTGATGGATTTATTAGGTAGAGGTAAGAGCTGCCCTTTTGTCACTGAATTTTATGGGGGTTATGTGACCACAGATCCGGAGGGTTGGTGATTATAGACCAACAGAATCCTACCAGAGCTCATCCCGTGATAGCTTCAGGATGCTCCCGGGAAATGCTCTTATCACCCGAGCCAGCTTAGTCCCTGAAAAACAGGACACACTGGGCTGGTGTCTGTTCTCTGTTCACTATGACCTTCAGGGCTTGCTGGTTCCATGGCTTCCCAGCTGGAAGGAACTTTGAAGTCCAGCCCTTTGGTGTAATTAAGCGAGGTGCAGAATGGGATGGAATTTGTCCAAAGTCAAGTGGGTAGCAAAGCAAGGACAAGGACCCCATCGCCCCTGGCTCTAGGGCACTCTTGCTCCCTCTCCTATACCTTGAGGTTCTGCACACTGGCTAACCTTTGAGAGACCTGGCACATTGGCCCATATGGCTCCTCAGTTTAAAACCCAGCTTTTAAGAGAAAGAACAGACTCCAGAAAAGGTCTCAAAACAGCCTTCATGACCTGACCTCTGCTGAACTCTTCAGCCTTGTTTTTTACCTTTCCCTCTCACCTTCAACTCTCTGCCCCAGTAAGACTTCTACTTCTTGACTAAAGTATAGTCTCTTGCCCGGCCCCCTCTTGTCTTGGCACAGGTTGTTCCTTCCAATGAGAACGCCCTTCCTTTAATTGGGAGGACTCCTGTTCATTCTTTAACTTTAAGCAGACGCTTCAATTTCTTCTCCAGAAATTCTTCTTTCAGCTCCACGTCTGGATTAGCTGCACCAGCTACCCGCATCCAGAGCCTTGTCACTCAAAGTATGCTTTTGGACCAGAAACATCGCCATCACCTAAGAGCTTGCTAGAAATGCAGCATCTCTGGCCCATCCCAGACCACCGAGTTGATTTGCATTTTCCTAAGGCCCCAGGCGATCCTCACGCACATTGCCATTTGAGAAGCACTGCTCTAAAACCTGCTTCCCACACTCTTCATCTAGTGCGGTGCTTCTACCTCATTTCACTGCCCCTGCCCGCTGACCAGCCTTTTCCCCATGAGATACTGAGCCTTGTAAAGGCAGACACTGTCTTCTCCACACGTGTGTTTCCAGCCCACAGCACAGCATTTGGCACATAGTAAGCACATTCAATGAGTCAATGAATCAATATATTCATGAAGTGAGGGCTCTTCAAGTCTCTTACTACTTGCAAGAAAAATGCATCATTTTACAAGGCTATTTTTGAGCTGCAAAGACTTTAGTTTGTGGAACTCAGGTGTTTGCTACTGTGATCTATAGATCCTCGATAGCTCAGAGAAACCTCCAGGATCCTTGGTGTTGGCAGGGAGTTGAAGAGGAGACCTGGCAGGTGGGGATCCAAACCACCCACTCTAGCTTCTCCAGGAACAACTCAGTGGCCCACAGAGTCCACACACCTACTCATCCCATTATATGATTATTCGATAAGGAACCAGTTGGCGCCTACTTACAGGAGCAAATTGGACATAAAGGATCGCCAGCTATACAAACTGACATTGTAGTGGGTTAGAGGAGTGACATATAAGTAAAGACATGTGAGGTACAGGATATTAAAACTAATAGGTACAGTGCAGAAAATTAAAACATGAGGTGTCAGCGAGTAGAAGTATTAAGGATATTCTGAGGAGACGGCATTCTATCTAAGACCTGGGGTTCTATGTAAGATTTACTTAGAAGATAAATTTTCCATGAGTTAAAAAAAATACTAAGTACCACTAGACATGCTTATCCTGATCACTTTGCAGATGAGGCAACTGAGGGCCAGTGAGCACCAGAGCCCAAGGGTGCACAGTGAGTTTACTAGCAGCGCCGGATGGAGTCGGCTACACATGCCTTGGTTCCTGCTAACACGCCGGTGTGCAGTGTTGGAGGAATGCTGGAGGCCCTCTGGGAACTGGGAAGACCACAGGAGGAGGGAGCTGTGTGCCACGGGTGTGGGTTGGCAGACAGTGGCTGGTGACGGGCTGGCCAGAGGTTAGCGAGTCATCACAATCCATTACCAAGTGAGCTGTCCTGCCTCCCTGGGCAGCCAGGTGGCCTTTCCAGATGATTCATGTCTCGAAGGGTCATAAAGGGTCCCAAAGGTGTAAAGGCATTGTCAGGGTGGGACTCTGGCTCAGCTTCCACTCAAACTCCCTGAGCCCTTGGGAAAGCCCAATACAGTGGAACGTCTTCCCCTGCCCACAGCAAGACAGCAGCCGGGGCTCAAGCCTATCTGCCCTCATTCCGCTTTTATCTAAAGAACCTTCCTTTCATGAGAAACCGGGTCCAGGACCCCACAGAACAGATAAGGCCCCGCCCAAGGAGAGATCCCTTTTATCCCTGGCCCAAGCTCTGGTCTCTTCTCTTGAGGGCCTCACATTCCCAGAAGGTTATTGCAATTGTGAGGACTCAGGGTGGGCGCTCAGGGCAGGCCCAGACTCCATAAAAACTGTCCCACTCTGGGCAGCTCATTTAACCCTGGTGGGCCTTTAAGTCTTTATCATCTATGAAAGAGGGAGGATACCCTCCTTTGTCCAGTTTATGGGGTAATTTTAAAGCTTTTGAAAGTCCATTAAATGTTTCAAGAAGTCATGGATTCTCCCCAGCACCACCGATGCTATCCTGGCCCAGAGCAGGGCTCTGTCTCTCCCGCCTATCACCACAACAGCCTCCAGGGCCTCCCTGCCTCCCTCCTGTCTGGACCTCGCTAGTCCACGCTTCCGACTGCAGTCAGAGGGCTCTTTCTCCCTTGAAGATCTAATCATATCACCCCCTCCCTGTGAAAAACACTTGAAAAAGCTTCCCATTACCCCAGGGAGATAATCCAAACTCTTTAACCCTACTTAGCGGGCATTCAGGACTGGCCCCTGCTGACCTCCCCCTTCTTATCTTTTACCGCTCCTGCTGTCACACACTTTGCTCTGACAATTTGGAAATTCTTTCAGTTCTTACACACACAGTGTTTACCGAAGTGCAGGAGGAGTTCCCCTGAGGCGGGGAATGGATTTGAGGTGGTGCTTGAGATGAGCATATGCCCAGTATTAAACAACAGCGAGTCACACTGGGAAAGCAGCTAGCTCCCTTGTTCACTCTCGTCCCTTCCTCCAGGTTACTTAAAAACAAAACACACCTTTTGGTTTGAGACTGTGTCTTAGCACTACTTTAACACTCGCCGAGCTGCCCTTTTAAAGGGAGAGCCTTGAGTTGGTCCAGGATGGAACAAAAGTGTGTAGTTTTTCCATTGTATGAATGTTTAGGTTTAATTCTCTATTGAGGTTAGATGGTGCTACGTTCCCCTTTACAAGATGACACCGTGTTTTCTTTTCAAATATATTTGCAGTAAAAAGTGAATCTAAGGAAGAGGTAGCAAATGAACAAAATATATATGGCATGGTGATATGACAAAAAACATAGATGTGGCAGGTAAATGATTAAACTTTGAGGGAAAAACCTAGCCCTCATGTAATACCATCATCTCCTCTGAGCATTTCCCAGGGAGTCCCTCTGCCCCAGACCCTCTAATCCTTCTCTCCCTCCACTTGCCTGACCCCGCATCACCCTTTAGGTCTCAGAGTGTCAGCCCTTGGGAAGCCTTCACCAGGTGTCTATGCCTCGCCTGCCCAAAGGGCCCTATTATTTTGCTCTCATGACACTTGCTATTCCTATTCTGTGCTATTGCTTGTTTAATTACCTGCAAAGGTAACCTATGTGTAAGTACCTTTTCACCATTGCATGGTCAACAACTAACATGTAAGATGTGCTAATGAGTATGTGCTGAATAAATGAACGAATGAATGAATGGATGGATGACGTTGTTAGGTGCAAGGCAGGAAATGCAGCCACCATTTCATATGCTGCTTTATGAAGCTTCAGAAGATGGCAACTGCATCTTAGTTATGTTTGAATCCTCCATAGCACTTAGAACAGTGGTTGACTATAACTGCTGTTGACAAAAAGCATACCTTACAGTGTGTTATGAATGTATTTAGTCATGGTCACTATTGGACTTCATTCCAGAAAATCTCAGATTTCTTATGGAAGAGTGGAAAGAGCCCTGGATTAGGGGCCATGGCCTGTCAACGGTGCCTCTCCGTGATCTCGGTTAGGACACAGCCCCTCAAGGAGCCCAAGTTTCCCGTCTCTAAAATCAGAGGTGGAAGTTGGGCAAGGGGAGCGATTAATCAGAAGAGCACTGATGTTTCTCTCTTATCTGACATTCCAGGAGTCCAAGAAGCTAAGATTCCAAGATTCTTTCTCCCTCCCATGTCCCATCTCTATCTAGCCCCAACATGACCAAGGTGAGTGCAACCCTTATTTATTAGATAAAGCCCATTCTCAGCCTACAGGGAAAGGGGTCCAGTCAAATCTAATGAAAGCAAGAAGAATGTACCCCTCCACTCACACTCAGATGTGCATACCTGGGCCCCAGCTCATCCTCGCTCCTCCAGACGAAGTCCCCGAACTTCTCATAGTGAGAGTTGTAGTGGTGCTGGACTCGGAACAGCATGGAGGCTGAGACCTCCATCAGCATGTTGTAGGCCGTCTGCTGCTCCTTTCCACTTGTGTACCCATTGTACAGATTATAGATCTTGTCGGCTATCTCTGAGGGGGAAGAAGGCACAGATCACTGGACAGTAGGGAACAGTGAGGATGGAGACATGCTTTGCAACAAGGGAGGCATATCCATGCAGGGATTCACTTGCATGGCCCTTGGGGGCAGACAGACCTCAGTTCTATCCTGAATGTGTCAGGAACTAGCTGTGTTCAGTTTTCCTTTCAATTAGTGATAACAACGTCTACTCGGAGGAGCACTGGGAGGACTAAATTAAAAACCGGATGTGAAGGACTTGACACAGGGCTGGGCACAAAGTTAGTGCTCATAACGGCAAGATTCATTATTAACAAAGTTTTGTGCATGTGATTGAACATTAAAGCAAGTACAGAGGCTTAAGTAAACTGTCTTGGGCTCATCTCAATAGTCTATTTCTGTCTCCCCTCTGCCATTTTCCCAGCATGTTTCTGTGATCAGGTCTGACAGGTCCTCATTCAGTAATCGTTCAAAGGAAATCCAGAATCTTCCACTTGCCATTCATGACCATTCATACTCCTCCCTCCATTCCTACCAATCAATGGACCTTAATAGGCAGCTCTCCTGAGTAGAAAGCATGTCTTTGTATCTTTGAAGACTAATCAAAATTTATGTATGTCCCCAAGTCATTGCTAACAACAGCTGCCTCTAGGACAGTGGTTCTCAACCTGTGGGTCGAGACCCCTTTGGGGGTCAAACGGCCCTTTCACAGGGGTCGCCTAAGACCATCAGAAAACACATATATAATTACATATTGTTTTTGTGATTAATCACTATGCTTTAATTATGTTCAATTTGTAACAATGAAAATACATCCTGCATATCAGATATTTACATTACGATTCATAACAGTAGTGAAATTACAGTTATGAAGTAGCAACAAAAATAATTTTATGGTTGGGGGTCACCACAACATGAAGAACTGTATTAAAGGGTCGCGGCATTAGGAAGGTTGAGAACCACTGCTCTAGGAGAACTGGGGGGCGCATGTACTTTGCATTATTTTCTACTCTGATTTTTATTTTTCTTATATTTTTTAACAATGTGAATGTATTATTTTAAGGTATCTTTTTTTATTTATTTTAATCCTCATCTAAAGACATACCCAAAGAGAGGAAGGTGGGGGGAGGGGGAGAGAGAGAGAGAGGCAGACATCGATGGCTGCCCTCCATACATATCCCGACCAGGGATTGAACCCACGACCCAGGTACGTGGCCTGACAGGGAATTGGACATGCAACCTCTCACTGTACAGGATAATGCTCAACCAACTGAGCCACTCCCGCTGGGCTGCGTTATTTTAAAGTAGAATTAATAAAATTCTCAGCAAAACATCTCAAGTCCCTTTGCCTTTGAGACTCAGTAGCTCACCATTTCCTCTCGCCTACTTGCACACAGAGCATTTGGTATCGAGCTTTTGTAGAAATGTCTCTCTCTCCCTGTGGAACGTGAACTCCGAAAAGGAGGTTTCCGCGTCTCCTGCATTGCTTGTGCCAGGGCCTTAGAAAGCACTTGCGCAGCCTGAAGTGAACCAGCAGGGCGTGAGCTGCTATCACATCTTTGCCAGTCCTGACATAGAGACCGCATCTACACGTTGCCTGGGAATGACGTGTACGGTGGATCCGATTGACTAGTTCTATTTTGTCAGGTGTTTTGCCTGATATTTACAATTCCACAGAACAGGAGCAGCAAAAAGATTTATTCTTGCGTGTGAACTCTGACTGATAGTAACACTCGCTCATTGTAGCTCTATGCTGCAGAGGATTCTGAGGCCATCCCTGAGCTGGATGGGAGAGTGTGCTGTGACCAGCCAGTGATGTCTACACTGGTAAGGCAAGCTGAAGTGGTGTTGGGGAGCACAAGAGACTTGGCTGGAAAGTTGTAAGGAGGACATTCTGAGAAAAGGAAAGTGTGTGGAAGGCCACCTGCCCTGTTTATTGGAATTCCGACTTAGGGGAGACTTAGGGGAGTGTCGAAGGCGGGGCCCCTAATTATTCCTTGACCTTCCCAAACAAGCCTGTGCATATGCAGACCCCCGGGTGTTTACTGGAATCCTTATGCTTAATCCCTGGATGCCCTTGCCTAGAGGACAATATAAACATGTGTCCTCCCAAGATTACTCACCCTACTGATTGTATCTAAAGATAAAAATTCCAATAAAGGCCCAACGAGGCAGGCAATAGAGGCTGCTCTGGCTACTAAAGCCAGGCGCCCCTTAGCCCTCTTTTGCACAGTCAAACTGTCTCAGTAATCTGCTCATCTGTCGTTTGGGGGCTGCTGGTCTGCCCTGGCAAAGTGGTCTTCTAGGTGCCACTGTTCTGCCAGCTGCAGCATAGACTGAAATGAACAAAAGTGACTGATCTCGAAGAAGTGCAGGCGAAGGGTCAGGATACAGCCATGGGCCTCTTCCTCTCCATCATTGCTTGACTCAAAACACAGACAAACTCTATAAAAGAGGAGCAGGTCTGTCCACTGGCAAAGATATTGTGGCCCATTCTGGGTTTCTTTTATGGCTTTGATGAATTTAGCTCCATGTTCCTCCTCCCTCAGTTCCTTTACTTTCTTCTCCCAATGCCAATAAATGTGGGGGGGGGGGCAGGAAAGAGGTGGTGGTTAGTGACGGTTGGGTACAAAAATTAGAGACAATATGGGAGTCCCCTGGGAAGTGAAGCAATGGGTCACCTACCTTCCGCCTTGTTGTCATCCACCAGTGGACAGGCTGTCCTCAGGGTCACTGTGCTGAGCTCCGAGTGCCTCCCCCGTGTGTCCACAGCGTACAGAGTGAACCTGCAGCACAGCAAGAAAACAGAGCACCGGGCTGTGGCTTCTGAGAGCCCCGGACAAGCAAAGCAAAGAGGAACCTGGACCACAGCACAGGTGTGGTCGGGAACACTCAGGCTGCAGGAGAAATGATTTCCAAAAAAAGATCATTATAAACCATTTACTGAGCACCAACTGCCTCCTGTGCCCTTTGCACTTAATCTCTTTATTTACAAGCAAGCAAACCAGGAAGGCAGGGATTATTATCGCCTGCGTTTCACCCCCGAGGAAACTGAGACTTAGACTGCGCATCTTTCCATGGACTCATAGCTACTGAGGAACAGAGCACTTGAGAAGTGAACCCCCATGCTATCCTAGATAGCTGGGTACACTCACCTACCTTACTCCATTCATTTATTTAACTTATTGAGCATTAAGTGTGTTCCAGGAATTATTGTAGGAAGGTGCTCAGGTTATAAAGATGAGCAAGAGATTCAAGGTCCCTGCATGCATAAAGCAAATCAAAAAGTAAACAAAATATTCCATTAATGGTAAATGTGAGAAGTAATATAATAGGAGAAAGTGAAGAAGACTAATGTGGAGGGGAACATGGGTGCTTTAGACAGTGTTATCCACGGAGGACTTCAGGTAGAGAGCAGGACTGGGCTGAGAACCAAATAATGAGAAGCAACTGGCTTACGGGAGGAAGACCTGGGGGAAGAGCCTTCCAAACAGGGAGAGCAGTAAGGCCCTGAGGAGAGAAGGAGCCCTGACTGTTGGAGGAACAGGCAGCGGGTGTGGCTTTAGCAAAACGATGTGAGGTGGAAGGTTAGTGGGCACCTGTGGGAGTCTCAGTGTTATTCTAGGTACATGGCATGTCCCCACCTTTCTATGATGTCACCCGAGGCTCCATGCTGTGCTAGGGGACGTAGACAGACAGTGTGGCTTTAAAAGGAAAGAGCTGGAAACCATGAACCAGGTAGATTCGGGTCCAATCCAGCGTACAGAATTCTTTCTGGAGCCGTCCCTACCCTCTGGCCTACCTTGAGAAGGCTCTCTGACCCTTCACACCTCCAGATCGCAACGTTCTGTGGTTTAAACAAAGTCTAAAGAGACTTCCAAGAAGAGGGGAGCCTTGAAGGCCAGGAGCAACCTGAATAGGACTGTTGAGCATCTGAGTGACTTGTCTCTGTCATGCCGTCCTCTTTCATCTGTCTTCAAGGACAGAGGCGGTAGCGAGCGTGGGAAGAGGCTTCCCGGGGTCAAGTAGAAGAAACTGTGATCTCAGGGGGCCTCTCTCCTTCCCTCCTTTCCCAATACCTCAGCTCACCTCATGTTATATAAAAAGGGCTAAGACTACAGTCTCCAAGTTGCAGAATGATGAGCCCTGATTGACCGCAGATGTTAGGCACTTCATAAATGAGTTTATTTTACAACTTAATTAATATGTACCAAGACTTTAATATGTGTCAAGCACTGAGCTGAGCAGTTTTACCTGCATTTTTACTATTAATTCCCCCAAACAATCCTAAAAAATAGCCACTATTACTCTATTTTATATGAGGGTCAGGAAGAGGAAGTAGCTTGCCCAGAACCACAGAGGAATTCCTGGGACTGGCGGGTTAAGCGTAGGTTTGTCCGACTCCAAAGCTCATGAATTTAAAAACTGTCAGCCGGCCAAAGGTCTGTGGATACCAGCTCTGTATACATATAATTCCCTTAGGTACACTCACCTAGCTCCAACTATAATGAGGCAGTGCCATTTCTATGTGTTGTGTTTTTTAAAAATAAATAATCGCATTTATTGTCTCCATCTTTCGGAAGAGGAAACTGAAGATCAAAAAAATGAAGCAATCTGTCCCAAGTCACAAGGTTAGACAAAGCAAAGAGCCAGGACTTGTAGCCGGGTCTGTCTTACTTTAAAGCCGTACCCTGCGCTCTCAACTCTTGCTGCTCCAAGGTCTACCCTCGTTGGCTTTGGGGGTCTGGACTGGGTGATCTACACGGGCCCTCCAAGCACGGATACCTGGTGGTCTGATGCCCCAAAGGATGTTTTTTACAAAAGACACCGTGAATCAGAACTTCTTGGTACAAGGGTCACAGTAGGCAGAAGTCAGTATCTTTATGGATAAAAGAGCATTTGTCTGTGTGTGTGTGTGTGTGTGTGTGTGTGTGTGTGTGTGTAAACCTCTTTAAAACAGCCTAAGTTCTCTTTTAAAGAACTGGGACATACTTAGCCCATCCCAGGAATATGTTTCTAACCTACTCCTTACTATTAATACAGAATCTCATTGTAATTAAGACAGTACAGTAGCAATGTCCTCTCTTTGCTTCCCCAGTTGAAATAACAAGCAGTAGGAAGCTGACATTCTTGGTGCACAAAGGAATTTATCAGTCCATCAGGCCAGGTATGTATCTGTGATGCCACAAGCCAAGCTGGCAGCGAACCCCATGACCATCCATGGTCCACATCCTCGGCTGCAATGGGACCTGCCACTGGGCCGGTGACAGGCCCACAGAGACACCTCGTCACACTACAGCAATGTCAGCACTGAGCCCTCTGGCTGCAGAGGGCCTTGGGCCAGGGGTGGAGGAGGGATCGCCCAGAGCCCTGGTGGCATGCTGTGCGGAAGCAGGAGGAGCCTTGCAGCCCAATGGGCATCCACTGGAGTGGTGCTCACTAGCTTCATGCCTTAGGCTAGTTGATTATCCTCTGTGATCCTAGTCTCCTCGTATGTGAATCAGGAAGAAAACAGTCCTTCCCTGCACAATTGTCAGTTCAAATGCAGGGAACCCAGCACACTGCCCCGTTGTAACGCT